ACTTTAGTCAAACTTAAATTGCTGGATGTTCAAAAAGGGAAGGAAGTTTTCCCGTGTACACTGAACCTATGTCTATATTTCAAACCAGAGAGGCTTGGCAGTGAATCATTTTCTAGGGAAAGTAGGTTTGTTTAGTCTCAGATCTCAGTGTGTCATTCTCACAGTGGTTGCCCAACAGTTCTTTCCTCTAGAAAAGTTTCTAAATCTTGGAACTGAAGATTGTATTAGAAAAAAAAAAAAAGAGAGAAGGCTCAGTTTCTTCTCCTTCCTAGTTGTATCAAAGAAATGCTTAAGAGATTAATGGGACCCTGAACACACTTTAATGGAACTGGTATGAGCTGAGACTCCGTGCACTTCTTTACTTTTTACCTAATTCTAATATCATCTAGGATTCCTCCTTCTATGGATTGTGTTCTAGGAAGTACAAAATGATTGGTATTCCTTATAGGTTATCTTGTCCTAAAGTAGAAGCTGAAGAGGAGAGATTTTCCTCCTGCTGTAGACCTTGATGTTGCCTCTCTGGTTGTATGATACCAACTCTGATGTCTGTGATTTGGAATAGCAGTGCCATGTCTCCAAGCATTTTATAGGTCTTATGAAACTTTCACATAGAAGTGAGGGGAAAATATATGCCAGTGGGCTTTGGAAAATCTTATTAGCACCATCAGATGAATATTACTTAATCATGGATGTATGGAAATCTAGGTTAGTGGAGCCTGATCTGGGAACCTTTATGGATGTTCTCTCTTGTTCTGCTGGACAGGATATTCCTAGGCACTTTCCTTGGGAACAACCCCAACTTGTTTATCTTCTGTTCCAACGCTTTAGCCTTGGTCAGTACTTTTTAAAATGATCTTTTTACTTAGTTGAGTATTGGGGTTGGAGGGGGCAAAAACCAGGAAACCACACCAGTGGAGAATATCTTTCTGATGTTCAGGGTTTTCTGGCTTTTCATCCTAGGTCTCTTGCATGCTGACCCTTGGATCATCTCCTACCCCATTCTTACTGCATTTTATGAAAAATCCTTGGTTGAAGATAGGTTGGGGATGGATTTATTGCTTTGATTTTTTTATAGGTTTTTTTTGACTTGATCATACTTTAACTTGTTATTAGCCCTTTCATGATACTACTTATTTCATTTGGGTGTGTAATGATGGCCATTTCTCTAAAGGAGTGGAGATAGTGGCATCTCTATTAGCAAGATCAGAGCCCAGAAAGTAAGCCAGGATTGAGACATTCTTGTTACATTCAAGTATTCTCAGTTCTCTAAGAGGAAATGAGAAACAACTTCTCCTTCAGGGAATGTGTGGCGCACAGGAAAAAACCATTTCAGGCATTGTTGGTGGATTGGAACTCTAATCTTAAAAGAAGTTAGAGATCTTTATGTTAATAGACATGGGGCTGTAAAAGTGCCATATATCGTGGTTGGCTTTTCATTGAGTCTCTGTAATCTTCTTCCTCTCCAGCTGGCTTTCTCCCCAACTCCCCCACTTCCTCTGCCCCAGAATTCCAAAATGGAACCATGTTTCTTGAAGTTGTTTGAAAGTCACATTCATCAGAATTAATTTGGGTTGCTTGTTAAATTCAGATTCCTGGGCCCACTTTCAATATTAAATTAGAACACTGATTTTCAACCAGTGTGCTGCAAGAATTTTTAAAACATGCAATACCTACATGACTGTTTAGTCAGAGCCACTGACCTCTTTTCCCTTAAATTATCAAGTTAAAAAAACGGCAATAGCCAACACAAGAATAACCCTCCAGTATGAATGCCCTGTTTTGAAACATAAATACAATAGTTCATACAATAAAGTTGTATACTGTTGGTCACATAGCATAATAAGGTAGCATTTGATTGGTTAATTCTTGCTACTAGAAATCCTTATATACAAGTACAGGGACCTGATTTTTTAAAAAGACACTTTAGCACAGAAATGATAGGTAATTACTATCTTTTTTTTTTGTAAACCGATGAAAATACCTGTTTTTTGGTCAGATTGGCAAAAAATATATTTTGTGGTGTGCCACAGAATTTTAGTAATTAGTTTGTGTGTGCCACGAGATGAAAAAGGTTGAGAATTGCCCTGGCTGGTGTGGCTCAGTTGGGTGGAGTGTCATCCTGTAAACTGAAAGGTCACAGGTTTGTTTCCAGTCAGGGCACATGTGTAGGTTGCAGGTTTAGTCCCCTGTTGGCGCAGAGGAGAAACAACCAGTCAATGTTTCTGGAATTGATGTTTCTCTCCCTTCCTCCCCTCTCTCTAAAATCAATAAGCATGTCCTCAGGTGAGGATTTTAAAAAGATTAAAAAAAAAAAGTTGAAAATTGCTGATTTAGAGTATCTGGGGTAAAACACCAATCAGAAAGAATATATGCACCTGTATGTTCATAGCAGTGTTATTTACAACAGCCGAGATCTGGAAACTGCCCAAGTGTCCATCAGTAGATGAGAGGATAAAAGAGCTGTGGTACATTCACACAATGAAATACTACACGGCTGTAAAAAAAAGAAGAACCTCTTACCCTTTGTGACAGCATGGATGGACCTGGAGAGTATTAATACTAAGAGAAATAACCCAATCAGAGAAAGACAAATACCATATGATCTCACTCATGTGTGGAATCTAATGAACACAAAAAACTGACGGACAAAATAAAGCCAGAGGCATGGGTACATGGAACAGACTAGCAGATCTCAGAGAGGACGGGGGTAGGATCACTGGAAGAGATTAGCTAAAGGACATACGTGCACATATGCACAGTCAGTGGACACAGACAACAATGTGGTGAAGGCATAGGTGGGGCGCTGGGTGGTGAGGGGCAAAGTTGAGGGGAATGGGGGATGTCTGTAATAGTGTCAATGATAAAACTTTTCAAAATAAAATTAAAAAAACTAAGAAGGTTTTCTAAAAGGATAATATATTTGTTACATCCTTTTTTAAAAGGGAGAATAAAGAAAAAGAGAACAAAAAAAAGAATCTTTGGGGGTGGATCCTGAGAATCTACATTTTTTTAAAAGTCCCAGTTGCGCCCCTTACACTTATACTTCATGCCCATCACACTTAGAACAGTAAACTGCAGGATCTTTGGCATTATATTGTGACTGAGGGCAAACTGCTTCTAAGTCTTTCTGATGAACTAGGTTATGCTTACCATTCTTAACCAAGAGAAGCAGGCTGCAGAACCCCTGCCTAGAAATTACAATTAACATAGCTTACTTTCTGGATTTCTGGCATCATTTCATCCCTGTGGAAGGAATTGAATTTTGTACCCAGACATGAAGTATTCAGTTTTAGTACCTGCTACTCTTTAGATAGTACCCCTAAACACTCTAGGAGCAAGATTTCTATTTATCTACCCTCTCTGTGTGAGAAATGGGAGTGCCCTGCCCAGAAGCATAGGTGAGAAAAAAGTTAGTGACTCTCCTGGAGACCCCTGTAGACTGGCCAGATTGCAAACATAGGTCCAGGAGCTTGGCTGGGGATGGGATGGGCCCAGATTTCTGTTCCGGACAGACTCCTACAGACCTGACTAGAATCTGCAGAGGAAATTCCTGTTAATGGGGCGTTTGCCAGAGGCCCCAGCTCTCCTGTCAGGGATGCCTGAGCTGATGCAGACCCCTGCTGCAATGGCGAATGGGGCTGGCCAGAGTTTCTTTTTGCTGAGTCTTGTTTTCCACCCCAAACTCCTCTTCAGTTCTACAGATGCTGGTTTATTTGCACACTCCATGCTGTTCTTGGATTGAAAGCCTCATTGTTTTTGAGCTCCGTGTTTAGATAACACCACATGCCTGCAGCAGCGAGGGCACCCTGTAAAGGAAATGCCTGGGCTCGAACAGCCCCGTCATTCATTCTTTGTATGTGAGTGACTGGCCTGTGTTTAGGATCATTATAAGAACATTTCTCTGCAGGGATTATTCTCTCTCTTCTGCCATTCCAATCATAAGAGTTAAAGTCTGTTTGCCCAAAACTTGTTTCCACACATAGCTGTAGTACCAGAGTATTTTTCCCTCTGGTGAGAAGACTGTTTTGGGGGACACAGGACTGACTAGCTAGTGGTGGTACAGTCTGTTTCATGACCAGACCAGGTTGGCAGCTGCAGTTGCACGTGATTTCAGAGGCTCCTTTCCCTCAGTTTTCCCCATCACTCTCTTATGAAAAAGAAAAGAAAATGTGTTATCTCCTTTCAATATTAAATTTCCTTTGAGAGTATTTTTTAGACTCTTCATAGGACATATTTTCAAGCCCCAAATAATTGCTTTTGAGATGACTGAAAAATAGTGTCTCCAGTTCTTAGTATAAAGTCCCCAAAGCAGAATTCAGTTACACATGTGGTAAAGGAAACAGGCCATCTTGTTTTTCCAGTTGTTGTAACTACTTGCTCTGCATTTAATTAAAATTTTTTCTTTAATATTCTTGAGTCATGCCATGGGATATAAAAATTTTCTGTGAACAGATGAAAAACTGAAAAATAAAGACAAAAAAGTGATTATTATTGAAAAATATTCAGAATTAACTATAAAGTATCTATTCTTTCTAATGGTTCTTATATCTCTAATACAAATGGTGAATATGTCCCTTAAATACCATCTGTGATTAGCTAGTTAGTGTTGACATGGCTCACCTCCCAGGGTCTTGACAGAAAATCTATTTGATTCTGTAGTTAGCTTGGGTAAATGAAAAAATGAATCATTTTAATATGTCTTTTCTTTCAAGATGCTTAAGTTATCCTGTAGATTTACTGGTAATTCACCTTTTGGAGATTGAAGAGGGGAACTGGCAGGTTAAATCACTTGCTTTAATGTAATCCAGGAGCCACTCCTATCCCTCATTATTGCTTTAAGCCCACTGCATAGAAATATCTTTCTGCTGAAATTCATATGTACAAGCTTGGATAGGAACCTGGGCACATGTTGGGAAGAAATAAGTGCAGTGTGTTTTGTGCGTTTTGCAGACTCTTGTCCAGCCTGTTTCATGTCTGATGCCTGTGTTTCTGCCTTCTAGTTCTCTCCTGCGCTATGGTGGCAACCTGTCACTTCAAAGTGCCATGAGTGTGCGATTCAATAGCAATGGGACACAGCTCTTGGCGCTGAGGCGTCGCCTGCCCCCTGTGCTCTATGACATCCACTCCCGCCTGCCTGTGTTCCAGTTTGACAATCAGGGCTACTTCAACTCTTGTACCATGAAAAGCTGCTGTTTTGCAGGAGATCGTGACCAGGTAAGTGTCTTCTGCCCCCTGCAGCCCACACTCTTGCTTTCTTCTCAGATTACTGTTTCTGTACTGGTCTTTATTCCTCTTTAGCATCATGTCAGAGAGAAACAATTGAGGGGAAACAGTGTCTAGGGATATTCTGGCTTAATAGTGAGTTTCTTCATCGGAGCTGCCACTGAGTAATATGAGGCACATGCCTTAAACCATGGCTGGCCCCAGTATGGTTCTGAGCAACCTAACTCTGCCAAGTCTGTGAACAGATTTTAAGATTCTAAGAATGTGTCATTTCAAAAGACAGGAGGAAGTCCATGGAAAATTAGCCTGCCAAAAAAGGAGACTTTAAAAAAATATCAGTATAATTCAGTGATGAATGAAACACCCTAAATATTAATATCATCCAGGAGACATATATCTTGAATGGCCCCTTGGGATGGCATCTTTTTCTTGGATGAAATGGGCTGAGTGGCTTTGTTTGAGAGGAAGCCAGATGCTGACTTTTTCTTTTTATTGCCAGCATCACAACTGGGAAGGAGAACCCAAGCTGTGAGTTTCCAGCCTTTTCACAGTCTCACTGGGACTCGAGATACTGACAGTGACTTGGAGCTGGCAGTTTAAAAACATGCTTGTATTCTTGACTGTCTGTCTTGGCCATAGAAATTCTGAAGTGGGTGTCAGTGAGTGGACCAATGGATTGGTCTGAGTAATCAAGCCGAATAAAGACAAATATAAAGAAGGATTGATCAAATAAACAAATAGATTTTTGTTGCCCTCAAACACAACAAATCTTATTGCAGCTTCACATTTAAATTGGAAAAAGAAAAACCTTATTCTCCTGCTAATGTTTAGTGTTCTCTTTGGGTTCCTCAACTGTGTCAAATTTTGACATGTAACTCTCATATGCTGTACTTCATCTCTTTAAAGTTATTTGTGGGCCTGGGGCATAAAAGAAACAGTTCTTTGAATACCTGTGAAGTCCCTGCTTTTTGACGGCTGTAGCTAGAATTTTTCTTCCTAGATTGGTGTTGCTAAGGGCTTCCCAAAGTCATAGCTTAAAGATTAGTATATGTAGTAGGAGCACAGTAAATGCTCACTGAATTGAATTGGATGTGAAATAAATTGAGAATTACTTTTAAGTTGCCCAGGCTAGGGATTTCCCCTTTTTTTCAATAGAGAGACTATATATCCGAATTCAGAATTTACTTTCAAGTTGGAATCCTGGGGCCTATTTAGCTGCAATCCACACTCGAGACCACTAGGTGGCCTCAGCTGTATAAGCATTGTCTCCTTGAAGAGGCCACAATGCTAATTACTTTGTTTTTATAGGCGATTTGTTTCTTGGGTGGGAAGAAGCAGTTTCTACAGATGATCAGACTCATGATAGAACAGATCATTGTAACTGTCTACTTGGTAGAAGGATTGATTTAGTTTCATTTACCTATGGCAATAGTAAGAGAGAAGTACCTCCTTCTTCTGTCTCCCTTCTTTCCTTTCTTCTTTGCTTTTATTGGTTATTCATCTTTTGTCAACCTCATGCATGTATGAGATCCTTTCTCATTGAACAACAAAGAATAGGCACTAAATGTAATGGGGTATAGCTTTTTACCAGAAACGCAGGGGCTGAGGGAAAGGTGAAAAAGTTGAAGGAGAATGGATGTTGTGTTTTCTTTCAGTTTCTGTATTAATTAATAGTGAACACCTGACTGCTTAGAGTCCTTAAGAGAATCAGAATAAAGGCTCTACCAATATGCAGAACATCTAGACCATTGTTTCTTAACCTCAGCACTATCAGCATTTTGGTCAGATAATTCTTTATTGTATAGGATTGTCCTGTGCATCATAGGATAATTAGTAGCATCCAGGGATGCTACTGGCCTCTTCCTATCAGATGCAGTAATATCTCCCCCAGTCATCCCTTAGACAAACAAAAATTTGCCCCATGTCCTCTGGGGATGAAGGGGGTGGACGGAGTGCCCTTTTTTCAGAACCTGTGACCTAAATTATAATTACCCATTTTCCCCAGAAACACTGGGACAGGTATTGCCATTCACAAAGCCACACAAGGTGTTTTATGATAGTCCTGGTTATGTACATCGACAAGTTGTAGTTGTGGTTGCTTTTTGGGTTTTATACAATGATAACATTGAATGGCTTTTGATTTTCCCTATTCAGATTTGACTAATTTGTTATTTGTGACTTTTGTCCTATGGGAAGAGTTTATGGGTAATATATCCTCTTCTACAAACTAGACAGCTTTTTGGTTAGGGTATGTAGTTTTCTATGGATAAAGGAGGATGCAAAGTCATTGAATCAAACTTTGGATCAGTTTTAGAGTTAAAGTCTTCAAAGTCTGTTCATATTCCCCATATACATGATCAAAATTATGTAACCTAGGAAATACAGCTATTTATTTTTGCCTGTGTTGTTCTCTCCTTGGGGACTAAGAAATGTAGCTAATTTTTCATTGCTTTGTCTCCAGTGCATGGCACACAATGAGGGCACACTAAATATTTATTGAAGTGAATCTTGAGTACTTTGCTCAATGTGTGGGTTTTAGCTTTCTGGGCCTATGGCTTCTCTAACTGTAAACCAGGGTTAATAAATACCATTTCCCTGCCCAACTTCTAGGGGCTTAAGGAGGATGAATTAAATAATGGATTTTCAATGAAATTAATCTACTGAGCTTACACTTTCTAAGTGTGGCACAGGAGGCCAAACTTCATGTCTTATTCCTGGAACGTGTTTCTCAAAGGTGATTTATAGGCTCTGGCTTTCCACGCTTGGCTAGAGGAGCAGCTGCCATGGTTATAATATGATCTGCAGGACTGACATGTACAGTCTTTGACTAGTCTAGATGGGATCTTTTTTGCTGCTTTCCAATTCCAAAGCCTCGCCTTTCCGTATATTGGTCTTTATATTTGATCTTGTTCTTGTATACTTTGAGAATGCCCACAGCCCGAGGCCCTGTGTTCTGGAAGTCTTCATTTAGTCATAGGCTGGGTAACTATCCTAGAAAGAAATCTGAGAATTTCCATAATAGGAATGAACATGGTCAAGAAAGGCACTAAGTGACCCATCTATCTGAGACAGTCTTCTGGCTGTCAGTTTACACAAATGGACCCAGATACTGTTGCCAGAGAACATGTACTTCATTTTAAGTTATCCTGGGTTCACTAGGTGATTCATTAGCCTTAAAATGCATGAGCAGTTCAAGAAATTGGGCTCAGGAAAAAAATTGTGAAATAAGCTGAGCCTACTTTGTCTCCCTCATGCTCATTGCCACCATTGTGTATAAATTCTAATTATAAAACTATTAAAGGTCATTTTGTATAAACCTTCCTTTTATACATGGGAAAACTGAGACTCAGAAAGGTTAGGCACACCAGTTAAGACATACACAAGTTTGTAGCTGAGCCAGGACTAGAACCCAGATTTTGGAGCTCTCAATAGAGACTTCTTTTCACTATACAGTCATGACCTAATGCCAGCTGTAACAAGGCAAGTGGCAAAAATGAGTGAATTGGGTTAGAAACTTAATAGGGAATGGTGGAGACTGTGGCCAACTTGAGAGCCCACTCCATCTAAATCTAAATGACTCCTGTCTGAAGCTTTGGCTCAGCCTTAGGCCATTGTTGCCATTAAAGGCCTCAGGGGTTCCCCCCCCCCGCCCCGCCCCGCCCCGCCCGCCAAGGACAACTAGAAGATTTGTATGTAAAGTTTCCTGATTTTTAAGTATTGCGACAAATTTATACTTTATTGTATAGATAAAACAAATCTGATCACCATACCTATTTTGCTCAAGAGCCATCAGTTTGAAACTTCTGTGCTTCAGCAGGATGTTTTTCTCTTGTGTTTAGCTTCATGCTCTGTCACTAATTCATAGATGAGTGGAGATAAGTTCTTTGCTTCTGTCTCCTACTAAAACCTTTCTAACTACATGCTCCCACCACCACCATAGTCTTTTAAAATAAGAAAGCAGATATTTACTGAGCATCTACTGTGTGCCAGCTACTATGGTAGACATTCATGACTGCCAGACAGTACCCTGTTTGAGAATTTTATTTCAAGCCCTAAATATGTACAATGTCTTCCTCACTTTTGGCTAAAAATGCATGGTTGGTTTATTTCTAGTATAATTTTTTTATTATTCAAGTTTAATAACTTCTTTCATGAAATAAGGTAGCTTAAAGGACATGAGATTGGCTGGACATAAACAGAAACAATTAGCATCCCCCACCCCAAAGCCTTGAGCTTTTCTCTTTTTTAGCCAGCCCACCTTACAGTCTTGGAGAGCATAGTGAGGAATCTTGCGGTAAAAGAGCATTCTTCTCTCTCGAGCCTGTGTGAACCCAAAGGTTCTCCTTTCCTGTCATACTTAGATGTATGTATTTATTTATGTACCTTTGCCATCTCTTGTTTTCTCCCTGAAGTCTGACTGGGTGCATTCTTTTTTCTCAAGCTTCACACTCCCTTCCCTGTTGCTCAGTGAGCCAATCTCTTAACAGGATTAAAAAAAGAAGGCCAATTTTTCCACCTGCTAGCTTTTCTGGTACACACTTGTAAGACAGCATTCGGCTTTTGTCGCCTTTCTTTCACAATTCTTTAAATGGCACCTGTCCTAGATTATGAGAGGCCAGCAGAGCAGCTCTGTCTTCTGGGAACTAAGTACTTCAGGCTAACAGGTATGCATTGCCTGGAAATGGACAGCGTGGTAATTTTAAAATTTTCTCTTGCTTTAGTTTCCTCTAATACCTGCCTTTAGTCTTATTGAATGCCTGTCCCTACAGCTTGCTGACAGGAATGGAAAAATGTAATAAAATTTTCTTGAAAGGGCTGAGCACTGGTATCTGAGCACTTGGATTGCTTTACACAGGTCTTTTGAACTTGATGTCAAGGCCTCTGAAATCTTGATAATTAAATCATTCTATCTCATTCCCTGGAGAAAAGAGCTGACTTATACCCGAATCCCCCCCCCAAAAAAAAAGACCTTGAATACATGGCCTAGCCTCAGACATTACATCACCATTCAACCTCTCTGTGTTGACATTATATGGGTATAGCAGTGGTTCAGGAATTCTCCAGTAAGTATGCTCCAGGCCGGTGAAGCACCTTATAAAATTATAACTACTTTTTTTATAATTCCATACAGTCCTTGTTAACCTCACTTGGGGGCCAGGCAATCCATATGTACTTCATCTGAAATAAAGGCACACTTTTTTTTTAATCCTTACCTGAGGATATGTTTATTGATTTGAGAGAAAGAGGAAGGGAGAGAGAGAGCAAAAAACATCCATGTAAGAGAGAAACATCCATATGAGAGAGAAACATCAGTTGATCGCGGCCTGCAGGCACCCCTGCTGGAGGTCAGCCCGCAACTAGGTATGCACCCGACCCAGAATCACACCGCAGCCTTTTGGTGTTGATGGTGACACTCCATCCAGGGCAGAGACACACTTTTAATAGGGGGAAATTCAACTCTTAGTTTCCATCCTATGACTTGCTTTATGACTTTAGTCTAATTTTTCTTCTCCTTACCTTTCTTTTATGTCATGTATTTTTAACCCTTTAGCTTCTAAAGCACTTACTTTTATATTAATGCCGCCAGTGACCTTTGGGTTTAGTTGGACAGGTTTTATCTGCATGTGATACGGAGGCCTAGAGTAATTTGAAATGGCAGATCCAATCAGTAGCAGAAACAGGACTAGACTCAGCCTCTTGCCTGTGATTGTACCCTCTTCCTCATGGGCATGCTACTACCTGTGCTGTACTGATTAAGTGGTGATTGCCTCTTTACGGGCTGGTGAGGAAGAGCTGAATACAGAATTGTGGCAGAGGAATCCTTTTATGTATTGTTGAGGTGAATATTTTAGGAGACTGTATTTTATAAAGAGAAGGTAGAATGAAAATAACTTTTTTATTAAATCAATCATTTATAACTCTTTTTGAATCCCAAGCCTCTTTGAAAGTTTGAAAGCTGTAAACATTCATTTCAGAAAAATGTACATATACACATAGTTTTGCATATAGTAGTAAGGAGTTTATGGAATTTCTGAAGCCTAGGGGTTTCAGGTATTAGGAATCCTGAATTAAGGTTTTACCCATGGATTTTATCATCTTCTAGTCCATTTGCTGATACAGTTTTAGAACTTAGAAAGCTTAAAATGTTTTGAAGTCTATGCAGGCCTACTTGACATGGTCTGGTTTATAACTGTTCAGCTGGAAAGGAACACTAGGCACCTGATTTCTTTTTGGGAACAAACGGAATTGATAAGATCTGGTAGTACAACATGGCAGTTCTCCTTTAATCTCTAGTTCCTGGCAAGGAGCCTGGGCTTTACTAAGAATTCCTAGTAGGTATTAATGAAGGGGAACAGAACCTTTCCTGCTCTACCTGCCCCATCCTCCTTAGAGATTTTACTTTAGGTCGCTTTGCCCTTTTCTCAGGTATCTTCAAAAAAGATAAGTAATATTTCTTCCTCTGAATGGTAGACCCCTTTGCTTGAATGAAAAATGTGAATACTCATGTGAAGACCGGAAGGAATGATACCATCTCCCCACTTCCCACTCCCCACTTCCCACATACAAAAGCTGAGGCCTACGAGGAGACTGGAAAAAGGCTGAACGCCTTTTGTTTTCTTGCCAAGGTTTCCAAAAGAGTTTTGCCAAATAAAGATTCATCTTTAAGTAATGCAAGCTACCTTGATACAAGCAGCTGTTGGAGATTTAGAGCATTAAATTTTTTTTCCCTTACTGATTATTTGACTATTATTGGCTGTCTTTAATGGAGTAGTTCATTATTAATAGAATTTTTCCTACTCAGAACCCATAAAGATTAGTTATTTTAATAAATGAAAGAATTCCAGGAGCCTAATGGAACTGAAATGGCAAACGTTTTGAAGAAGCAAGAATCATGTAACTTCATAAGCAAAAAATTGTGTTAATCTTATGGGTAAACATATTTGTGTGCTTTCATTGGGAGTCAGTGGAATTATTTTTTTTCCTACCACAAATAGTATCTATGGTTTTGGCCATTTCCAAAGAGAAACTTCCCTGATTGCTTTGGATGGTATTTGTGGCAGGCAGTGGGTATAAATGACATGATTAAAAGCATTTTATATACCCATTGGTAAACCTTTTTCTGGAAATAGTCTCTAGAGCACACATCAGGAAATTGTTCAATCACCTTTTTTACCCTCTGACAAAAGGTCAGGGAGAAATAAGATCTGTGCTGGATTTAAATGTTAAATTATAGTCTTTCTGCTATTATTGATCTAGGCTAGAGAGCCATCTGGTTTTTCTATCATAGTCTGTACTGTTAATTAGACAGGCATGCCATTTACTGGAGAATAATTAATCACTTATTATGGAAGGAGCCTTGGAGAGAACTAGTTGATGAGTACTCAGTAAATAGTAACTGATTGATATGGTTCCTTTCCATTAACAGATGTTAGAGATTATCAAATGTTGTACGTGCACACACACTGTTCACATACACACATACATATACTGAGAGAGAGATTGAAGAGCCTGTTAAGACATATTCTGGGTTATTTTTTGGAGTATACAGGTAGATGGTCTGTCCCTCCTGCCTTGTAGAACTTTTTCCTCTTTTTAATGTGGATTTTGGTTGGGGATGGGAAGAATTTGTGTGTGTGTGTGTGTATGTGTGTGCGTGCGTGTATATACTATATATAAATTATATGTATTTTATATATATCCATATTTCTAAGCCGAATAGAGCCTTAGAATAAAATTGATGGGAGAGTTAACTATATTCCAAATTTGTACCTTTTTTGGTTTGTTTTAATCATTAAGGTTTAAATAGAGGTGTTAGGGAGAGAGAAATAGTTGCTCTGCTTGAAGGTGGCTAATTTTTTTTTTTTCAATAAGCTTCTGTTTTAGTAAACAGTTTTGCCGTGGGGGGCTACATTTAGATCCTTCTTTGAACCTTCAAGTTGTCAAGATTTTCTTGTGACTTGACTGACTACAAAAGTGGTCAATATACATATTTAGAAGCATGGGCTTCTCTGGGAATTCATCTAATAAAGGTCTTTCTTAAAAGCATGTGTAATTCAAGACTGCTGAGAGTTGAAGAAAGGGGCAGGAATTCTTGGAGGGGGTGCTGGGTATTACAGTGATCTACCAGAGAGTAGGGAGTATTACATAAATAATTTTTCTATAATGGTTAATGGATTGACAGAGGACATGTGGACAAATGAAACAAGTGACTGAGTGCTAATGCGGTAATCTTTTTGTTTTTATGGTGGTGGTGGTGGTGGTCATGGTGGTGGTTTCTTTTTGAAATTTATTGAGAGGAGCAGCTGTCACTTTGCCTCTATGCTTGAACAAGTTAGTATCTCCATACTGACAGTGGATTAGATAAAAGGATTAGATATAATGCAATGGCCCTGGGTTAACTTTACTTAAAATGATTGGGATGGGTCAGAGTGTGGCCAGACTTTACCCTTTGTTGCCAGGTGGGAAAGATTATGGATGATGTGAATCCACACAACTTCTGCTCATTTTTGCATTGATATCACCTGTCTTACTCACAAAACCAAGTTAAAATTGAATATGTCTTCCTCTCTCTAATACGAAGTAGCCTTTGGTTTTCCTCCCCAAGCCCCTGTCCTACAACCCAGAGCATTTTGGGAAATGGGGCTTCTATTGTCTAGATAATGGACTACCTAAGACATTTTTTCTCATTTTTTGGAGGTTGGCACTATTTGTTTCAGGATACGAGGTAAAAGACTCATATGAAGTGCCCTGACCAATGAGGCTCAGTTGGTTGAGCATCTTTCTGCAAAGGGAAAGGTTGCCAGTTTGATCCCAGTTGGGACACATGCCTAGCTTGTGGATTTGGCCCCCAGTTGCCTCGATCCCTGTTCCTCTCCCTCTCTTTCTTCCTCACTTCCCCTTTCCCTAAAAATAAATAAAATCTTTTTTAAAAGATTCATATAAAGTAAGTTTTTAACTTGTGATTTATCATTTACTGATAAGAATGAGATCAGAGAAAAGACATAAGAAAATGTATTCTTCACATTCATATATCACTAGACCAGAAACTTCACTAAGCCACAATCTTAATTATTATCTAACTTAGTTTTTGCTTTTCTAAAACTGAACAGTAATCTTCACTTCTTTTTTTCATGGTGGTGTTTTAATTGTGAATGTTGGTTGTGAAGTTGTACCTCACAAAAGGGAATAAAAATGTTAAATTCAGAATTTCTGGCAATCATTCTTCTGATTATGTTTCTATAGCTTATCTATTTATAAAGGGCTACTGAGCCTTTCTGTTCTTTAGACCAGAGGCAGGCCCTTTACTCCAGGTCATTTTCAGATTCAACACCGGATTACCTGGGTAAGAGTGTGCAGGTACTATCTAAAATTAGATATCAAGCCCTGGCCGAATGCCGGCCTGTAAACCAGAGGGTTGCCGGTTCTATCAGTCAGGGCACATGCCTGGGTTGCGGTGAGGTCCTTAGTTGGGAGTGTGCAAGAGGCAACCAGTTGATGTTTTTTCTTCCCCTCTTTCTCCCTCCCTCCCCCCCCCTCTAAAAATAAAATATTTTTAAAAATAAAATAGATACCAAGAAAAAGAAAAGAAAGAGAGAAACCTGCACCTCCAGTTCCACTGCTTGAGGTTAAGTTCATTTTTCTGGTTAATTCAAATAGTTATTGTTTTATGAATTTGGATATACTTATGTAATTTGAATTTCCTTTGGTAGTAATTGGTGTTGGTGCTATTTGGTCATTGTTTTCTTGCTCCCAACAGCAAATATTTCAATATTTGTAAGATGGTTGATGAAGACTTGCAATGCCATCAGTATTAACCATTATCAGGGCCACAGTTGGAGCTTCCAGCTCAAGTCTGGGAGGAGATGAACCCTTCCAACGCAGCTTTAGAAGAGAGGAATCTTTTCAGTTGCACTGATGATGTTAAATGTACCTCTGCACTCAGCCCACTTGAAATAATCTTTATTTCCACAGAGCTTTAAAAAGAAAGAAAGAAGGGAGGGAGAACAGAAGAGCTCTTTTGGCTACCTTATGTTTTAAAATACCCAGAACTCTGTTCCCTCTCCTGGAATATTCTTCTGCCAGATAGCCACAAACTTGCTCCCTCATTTCCTTCAGGGCTCTGCTCAAAATGCCATTTTATCAGAGAAACCTTCTGTGACCACCCCATATAAAACAAAAACTGCCCTGGCTGGTGTGGCTCAGTGGATTGATTGAGCATTGGTCTGCGAATCCAAAGGTCTCCAGGTCAATTCCCGGTCAGGGCACATGCCTGGGTTGAGGGCCAGGTCCCAGTTGGGGGTGTACAAGAGGCAACCAGTCGATGGTTCTCCCTCCCTTCTTCTTTCTCTAAAAATAAATAAATAAAATCTTTAAAAAAAAAAACCCCACCAAAAAATGGAAATTAACCACTCCTGCACTCCCTCTATGCCCTAACCTGTTTAATTTTTCTCTATACCACTTACCACCACTGGACACGTACACATTCTTTTTATTTTTACTCTACTCACTTCACTCACATTATATATTGTATATAATTCTTTTCCTCTTTCCACCTATTAAAATGTAAGTTAAGCTTCATGAATGTAGGGACAAGATCTTTTTTGATCACCTATATCTTTTCCTGGAATAATGCCCAGCATGTAATTCACATTTGATAAACATTTGTTTAATGAATAAAGGAACAGATTCATTTATTTCAGTCTCCCCCAGTCAGCAGTATCCTGGGAAGCCAACTTGGAATACTGGAAGGGGCCCAGCAGGCAACCACAAAATGTCATAAATGAAGTCCTCAGGGCAATTTTGTGATTCTAGTGTGTAAACACTTAAATGTCTGACTAGACAGCAGTGGCTCAAGATCCTCTCCTTGGAAATCATTCCAAACTGTTCCCTTGTGGTAGTTCAAGAGGAAGAGAGGGTGAAGAGTTGTCCTTATCCTTGAGAGGAAGCCTGGACATTGTATGCATTTTCTACATATTTTAGGAGCTGTCATATTAACTCCAAGAGGCGTTAACTCTGTGGGAGTTTTCTTCCTTCTAAGGCAGTCTTCTGAGTCAGCGTTCCATTTGGGAGTCAGTTCCCTTTTACCTTTTTTCATGCTGAACAGCTGACTAGGAAAGCGCTGACCCTTCACAATGAGATAGTAAAACCTCTGATAAAGCCCACCCTTGGCTCACTCTTTTTTAATATGTATTTGTTTAATTTGGGGACAGGGTGGCAGGAATTCTATAAGAAGTTTTATCGCCTCTTTTAAACATAGAGCATGAAATGTTGAGCTGTTGAATAATAAATATATTATTTATCATATATGTGTATATATAAATTATTAGTGGACAGTTTTGTGTTCTGTTTCCCCCTCCTCCTCCCCACCCCCTGCCCATGTGTCTTAATTTGGTTTCAGTTTCAGATGCAAGTAGTCTATTTGGAAATGTGGGAAATAGTAGAGAAATGGACAAATGAGAAAGGTAGGGAAAGGAAGGGTGATTTAGTGAGCCAACTACAACTGGGGGCAATTGGAGTTTGATCTTGAGGAGGTGGAATATAGAAGATGCACTTCAGAGCTATTCCACCTGGGAGAAGGCAGCTGGGATATTGGTTGGATACTCAGTCATTGGTTGAGCCTGATCCCGAGGAATGTTCATTCTCTAGAGCAGCCTCCTAGGCTATGGAGAAACCTTGGGATAAAGAGACCTGGGTACTGGCAGTTAGAGATTGTGGGGAACATGCAGAGCAGTAAGACCTGAGGGACATGAAAAGGCATCAAGGAGTGAGCTACACCATACCTTCTACTCTGTTAAAACATTAGCTAACTGGTCACCATTGCTTTATATTGGGTCCTTTTGCCACCTTTACCCGAGGCTGGCTCAGTGCTCGTATCTTGCCTTGCCTCTGTCATGAATCACTAGGCACCTTATTTCTCATAAAAGCACCTAGTGATTTCTTCTTTGTAGCATGGTAGTTGTGTACCTACATGCATATTTTCTACTTGATATAAGCTCCTTGGGAACTCGGGTATTACATTATATATTATTGTAAGCCTCAAAGTGCCTGGTGCATAAGTGCTTGGTTAGTTAAAATTAATCTTTTCCCTCGACTAGTAGGTGGTTTTGCCAAACTGGCTGTCAGAGGAAAGCCCATGGGCTTCGGAATTTCAGCTTCCTAACTTCAACCGGGGTAGTGTTGTCAATTGCATGGGGAAAAATTTTTAAGTGTTCAGTTTCATGGTATTGAGTACATTCACATTGTTGTATAACCATCACCACCATCCATCTCCAGAAGTTTTTCATCTTGTAAAACTGAAACTCTGTAACATTAAATATGAACGCCCCTCCCTACCCTACCCCCAGCTCTTGGCAACCATGATTCTACTTTCAGCCTCTCTGAATTTGACTACTCTAGGAACCTCCTAAGTGCACTTGTGCGGTATTTGCCTCTTTGTGACTTTTATTTTGCTTAGCATAATGCTCAAGGTTCATCCATGTTATGGTGTGTAGCAGAATTTCCCTCCTTCTTAAGGCTGAATAATATTCCACTGTATGTATAGACCACATTTTCTTTATACATTTCATCTGTTGACGGACATAAGAGTTGCTTTCACGTTTTGACTCTTGTGTTATAATGCTACTCTGAACAAAGGTATAAAACTATCTCTTAGAGAATTCTTTGAGAAACTACTTTGTTTTGTTTTGTTTTTATTGTTTTTATAATTTATTTTGGAAGTTCATTGATTTGAGAGAGAGAGATTGATTGATTTGTTGTTTCACTTATTTATGCATTCATTGGTTCGTTCTCATATGTGCCCTGACTGGGGATTGAACCCACAACCTTGACCTATCAAGAAGATGCTCCAACCAGCTGAGCTACACAATTTTTTTTTTCCTGATGAGTATGAGGTGGTAGTTCATTGTGGTTTTGATAGGCATTTTTTTAATGATTAGTGATGTTAAGCATCTTTTCATGTGCTTATTGGCCATTTATATATAGCCATTATATATTTCTTTTTTGGAAAAATGTCTCAAGTCCTTTGCTCGCTTTTTTTAATCAAGTGGAGGTTTTTTGTTGTTGTTAAGGAAATTTTTTAAATGAAGTATAACAGGGTTAGTCTTTGAGTTTCCTTGCCTTGAACGTATTTATGTAGTGATTTATCAAGTAACCATGGGCTAGCAGCTTAGGGACTTTCAGCTCTGATCTGGCTTCGACCATTCCTTCACAGAGTGATCATAGAATCTTAGAATTAAATGAGCCTAAGGAGTGTGTCTTAGTATGTTCTGGCCGCTATAACAAAACACCACAGACTAGATGGCTTATAAACAATAGTAATTTCTTTCTCACAGTTCCAGGGGCTGGATGCCCCAGGCCAGGGTGGCAGCTTGGCTGGGCTGACTTCTCTCTATTTCCTCACATGATAGAAGGGGGCTAGAGGGCTCTGTTGGGTTTTCCTTATAAGAGTGCTAATCCCATTCATGAGGGCTCCACCCTCATGACCTAATAATCTCCCAAAGGTCTCACCTGATAACATTACATTGGGCATTAGGATTTCAACATGTGAATTTGGAGGGGGATACATTCAGACCATAGGAGATAGTGACCATATGAGGAAACTTAACCCAGTTCTTTTTGCCCTGAGTCCTATGAACAAAATTGTCATCATCTTTAAACATGCATTTTTTTTTCCACCTCCTTTCTCATGTATCTTGCAGACTGGTAAATGATTTTTCATGATTGCAAAGTATTAGTAAAGTATTTACATTAAGCATGAGGTTGTGTATATGTTGGACTTACACTTTTTGAAATTGTTCAGTGTCATTCTTAAGAAAGTATTTTTAGAAAAATATAGGCCTTTCTTTTTCTCGGGAAATAAGCAGATGGGGCCAAAAGGCAGTTAGTAATGCTGACCTCAACTTAAAGTAAAACACTTTAGTTCATCTTTGGAAATAAATAAGCTCTCAGAATTGCTCACTGTTGCTGTTAGTGTTTTTTAGTCCTAATTAGAATACAGCTGGTTTAGTGTCCTATCTTTTTGTGATAAAGCAACTAGAAGCCACCACATAAAGTGCTTATGTCCCTAGCACTCACTTGTGGCTAGGTTGGCAGTGGCTTCCTGTTGAAAGATGTCAGCTGACAGCAGGTAAGTTTAGGATGCTTGGCCTTGCATAAAAGATCTTCAGGAAGCTCTTAAATTATTTTTTCTGTATTTAAACATTTTTGTTTTGAAAAATTGTGGTAAAATATACATAACATAAAACTTTCCATGGTAACCATTTTTAAGTGTACAGTTCTGCGGCATTAAATGCATTTGCATTGTTGTGTCACCGTCACCACCATCCACCTCCGGAGGTGTTTCATCTTCCCAAACTGGGAGTCCATACCCACTGAACAGTGGCTCCCTATGCTTCCCTCCCTCCAGTCCTTGGGAGTCAGCGTTCTGTCTGTCTCTGAATTAGACTACTCTAGGGACCTCACAGAAGTTGAATCATACAATATTTGCTTTCATATGTAGCTTCTTTCATTTAGCTTTCTATCTTTAAAATTCACCCATATTGTAGTATATGTCAGAATTTACTTTTTAATGTTGAATAACATTCCATTGTATGTATATATCACATTTTGTTCATTCATTCATTGGTGGACATTTGGGTTTTTTCCACTTTTTGGCTATTGTGAGCATTCTTTTATAAATATTGTTGTACAGATGTCTCGAGTCATTGCTTTCAATTCTCTGATATATACCTACCAAAGACTGCTGGGTCATATGGTAGTTATATGTTTAACTTTTTGAGAAACTGCCATACTGTGTTCCGCAGTGGGTGCACCATTATGTATTTCCACCAGCAATGTACAAGGATTCCAATTTCTCTACCTCCTCACCAACACTTGTTTTCTGCCTGTTTTTTGTAATAGCCATTTTAATGGGTATGAAATAGTATCTTATTGTGGTGTTGATATTTATTTCTCTAATGATTAGTGATGTTGAGCATCTTTTCATGTGTTTATTGGTCATTTGTATATTTTCTTTGGAGAAATGTCTGATCAAGTCCTTTGCCCATTTTGAATAAGGTTGGTTTGTTGCTAAGTTTTAGCCAAGGAACTTTTTGATTTGTAAATACTTTCAAGAGGGTGTTTGCTGTGTGGTGCCTTAAGAATATATCTCCATTTGTTTTGTTTTTTAAAAATCTCTGTATAGGTAAATAAATATAAATATATTATCAATCAGTTAATATATAAATAATAAATTTTTTGTCCCTACAGTATATCCTTTCAGGCTCTGATGACTTCAATCTGTACATGTGGAAAATCCCTGCAGATCCAGAAGCAGGTGAGTATATCCCCAGTATGAACCTACTGCTGATGTTGGCTCTATTGACTGATGTTTGGCATGCTGTGCTCTGAAAGGATAGATCTGTAGCAATAGAGGAAGATACTTCTCTTTCAACATAAGTTTATCAGAAAAGTAACCAGAGGAAATTTTAAAATAAAAATTAGAAGCCAAGATTGAACTATAACCTCATATATAACTATATCTGACATAATGATGCTCAGTTTTTTTCCTTCTATAAATTTCTTTAGACTTCATAGATCCCCTTTATGTCCATTTTTCTCTCTCCAATTTCACACCTGGGATTTTTTATCTTTTACAGGGTTTTCCTTATTATCCATCTGCATGTTCCTGCATATTACTCTACAAATACTTGTTAGGGCCTCTTCGTTTGGCCTCCCTGATGATGTTAACTAAAGTGAAATTTTCTTTATTGCCTGATAGATGCATTCCCTGGGGTTTGGCTGACCTAGACATCAAAGAAATTAGGAGCAAATAATTCTGCATTTGCTCTACAAATATTTTGAAAAAACCTACAGCTTTCCACAAATTTGGACCTAGGCCAGCTGACGTTTCAAATAGCATGGATCATTCTTTTTTTTAAAATATGTGTTTTAGATTTTTATTGATTTGAGGGAGAGAGAAAAGTCTATTTGTTCTTCTACTTATTTATGCATTCATTGGTTGATTCTTGTATTCTTGAATCCTGACCAGGGGTCAAACTCAAAACCTTGGCTCATTGGAACAGTGCTTCTAACCAACTGAGCTACCTGGCCAGGGCAGATCATTCTTCATTCTTGATAATAGTGACCTCACTTGCTTAGTTACATGTTAACACTGGTTGCTTTCTATTGGTAGAAAAATGTATATTTTTTTATTCTCAGGACAGCTTAATACAGACACCTGCTCTGGGTTATACATGATATCAAACTGGACAATGAGCATTGGGAAAATTATAGAGGACTATGCCAAGTGTAATATTGTACAGAATGTGTCTAGTGCTCAGTTTAGGGAAGTTGTTGGCTTACCTGTTGCTGAATTAACAATATTGTTACCTATATTTGCCTTTCAAAACTTGTTGAGGACCACCTTTGGTGTAACTATCCTCTTGCTGTGGTCTAGTTACTAAACACGCTGTAAAAGGCTTCTTCCCCTTTGGAATTTGGAAAGCATGAGTAAATCACATTCCCTTTGAACCAAAAAGTGATGTTGTAGCACGAGAGGTAGTTCTGCATTAAGCCTCCTGTCCCCCATAAATTCTAGGTTGATTAGCTGAGAAATAATCTTTGGGCTTAATTGTATCTTTTACCAGATCTTGAAAAGCTTTTAATTATTAAGTCAACATGTCTTTAAAATAGGAAGTGGGTAATCCCTTTTTCCCAGGACTGTTCTATGGAATCTTTTTCATATTTGTATAAACAGAAGGAGGAAAGAATTAATGATAGTATTGCTGATATTTCCCTCTTCCTGTTGATTTCTATTCTTACATAGGGTATAGACTTACTGTTCAGCTGACTTTGTCAGTAGATGAGTGTGTAGTCTCTAGATGGGCAGGGACCTGATAGCTGAGTTAGCATTCCAATATTAAAACTGGGAATGGGTACCTGGACCTCCCAGTGGTTGTATGGACACAAATAGCTTCAAGGAATCCATTTCTAGATTCTTAAATTCCTTATGTATTCTTCCATAAAATCAGCATTCCTAAGAAGGGACCACTTTTCCTTTTCTACCTCCCCTTTCCCTTTGTCCTTCTCTTACTTTATAGGAACACAAAAACGAAACAACAACAAGAACAAACAGGAAACCAAAAGTACTCCACAAATTTCTGACTCTTTGAACCTTAGCATGGTGCATTGCCTTGAGGTATAAAAAATGACAAGGTGCCAAAATATCTGAAACATTCTTTAATCACAGAGCTATAATTAACCCCTCCTATTTTCTCCCTTATCTTCTTATGAATTTATAACAAATATATTCTGTTTATATGTAACAAGTTTTTATAGAGGTTTATTTGTTTTGATCAGTTGTGTTCCAGTAATAATTATAATGTTAACTTGAATCCAAGACAAAAATTTTAATAGTTAGAACCTTAAAGTCGCAGTAAATAAGGAAAAATTTAAATTTGTATTTACATTTTTGTTGGTGAAACTATGACAGAGTTTTCATTAAAAAAATTATGTTGAAATTTTAAGGGGTAAAGTAGAAATATTCCAAGGAGGAAAAAGGAATGATGTAAAATTTTTATTCAAAAAAGAACAAATTAGACTTAAGATTTCACATAGGGTGTAGAAAGTAGTTCCCCACTACAATAACTACAAAATCAAATTACAAAAGCCAGATTTAGAATATCAGAGAGCTAGAACTGTGCTAGAAGAACTAAAGTTCTAAAGAGGGAAGAAGAGCCCTTCCTAGCTGAACACAAGGCGCTGGCCCTTTTCTTTCCTAGGGACATCAGTGCACAGGCTATAGATGGGGCTGCCATGAATAGACTTGGCTAGAGTGAAAAGAAATCAGTTTTTGATGGCCACATTTGGTTAGTGCGGGGGTTGCACTGGCAGGTAGGGGTCTGGGCTGGAAAGGCAAAATGAAACTCCCACAGTATTATTGGGTTGGCCAAAAAGCCTGTTTAGTTTTATCCATAAAATAAAAGATAACATTTTTCTTTTTCACCAGTAACTTTAATGATTTGGATATATTGAGTATGTCGGTTGTCTCCCACATGGTGGAACGTTAATTGCTCTCAATGCCTTGATTTGATTGCTATCAACTTTAACTGGTCAGCCCAACTGTGGAGCATCATCCAATGAGAAATCTCCAGCACAAAACTTCGCAAACCGCTTTTGACATGTTCAGTCAGTCACAACACCTTCTCCATACACTGCACAAATCTTTTATTGTGTTTCAGTTGGAATTTTACCTTTCTTGAAATAATAGAGCATAATATGACAAAAATGTTGCATATTTTCTTCCATCTTCAATGTTAAAATGGCTACACAAAAATTCACCAATTTTGATTTTTGTTTTTTAAATGCACGCTGATATGACAGCTGTCACAATACAATCTAACAAAATTGTTTTGAATGAAGTTAAAGACAAGTAAGCACTACTAAAACCATTTTATAGAAAAAAACAAATGAACATTTTGGCCAACCCAATACAATGCTTAGGAGACAATCCCCTGTGAGGGGGCTCGCCCCACAGAGCATTGACCAGGTTTTGAACCTACATGGGAAAGGAGGATAAAGAGCAAAGTTTAAAACCTCCAAAGGACAGAACATTTTGACCAAAGAAGAACAAAGACTTGCCAGACTTTTCATCAAAAGCCGAAGAGGACTGCACTCAAGAATGGGGCTGGACAAGAAAGGTGAAATATCCGGCCGTCTCTTGATACTTAGGACACAGACTCCAATTAGAGGAAGAGAGCTGTCATAAGCACTCTACAGGTCTTACCTTTGAAACACGAAGTAGACTTATTATGACTAAAGAAGCAGCCCAGCCCTAACCTACTTCCTACTGATTGGATTGAAGTTGATCAGCTGTTTATCTTAATTTTCTCAAGAGTGGTATGGTGGGTGCATGTTACATGGAGGAAATAAGTTTTGTAAATAGCCTGCTAAGGCTGCAATAACAAAATCCTGCAGACTGGGTGACTTAAAAACAAAAATGTATTTTCTCAAAGTTTGGGAAGCTAGGAGTCCAAGATCAAGGTACTGGCAAGTTTGATTTCTCCTGAGACCTCTCCTTGGCTTGCAGATGAATGCTTCTCACTGTGTTCTCACATGGCCTTTTCTCTGTGCATATAAATTCCCTGGTGTCCCTTCCTTTACCTATGAGGTCACCAGAATTATTGGATTAAAATCCTACCTTTATGACTTCATTTAACCTTAATTACATCCTTAAATGCGCTATCTTCAACTACAGTCACATTGAGGGTTAGGGCTTCAACTTATGAATTTGGAGGAGACAACCCAGTCTTTGCTGTTCTTTTATACTCAACACCCAACATGCAATAAAAAATTATGAGGCATGAAAATGTGGCTGGTAATCAAGAGAGAAAAAAATCAATAGAAGCCAACCCACAACTTTATGCAGGTATTTAAATTAACAGACCGGGACTTTAAATATAAATATGATAAAGAAAATAGAAGAAAAGATGGGCAAAATGGATGAAAAGATGAGAATTTCAACAGAAGTAGAATCTATTTAGGAAAAAAAATCATGTAGACATTCTAAAACTGAAATATCTAAAGCTAAGAATTTATTGGATGGGTTTAACATACAGAGGAGAGGTTTGTTGAATAGAAGACAAGTCAATAAAAGATAACCAAACTGTAGGACAATGGGAAAAGAGAACAGAAAAAACAAAACAGAGCACGTAAGAGACAAGTGGAACACAGATGATCTAACGTGAAATTATAGTCCCAGAGGGATAAGAGAGAAAATGAGCAGAAGCAACATATGAAGATAAGTATCCAAAACAAATGAAAATACCAGTTCTCAACTCAGTAACCATAAGTAGGATAAATACAACACACTTAGGCACATCATAAGTCAAACTATTGAAAACAAAGGATAATGAAAAGACCAAAAGCAACCTGTGGAGAAGGATGAATTACCTATAAATAAGCAACAATAAGATTGCTGGCCAAATTATGGAAGCCAGAATAAAAATTATATGTTTAAAGTGCTTAAAGAATTAAAACCAGCTGGTCCAGGATTCTGTATCCAGGGAAAATATCCTTCAAAAATGTAGATAAAACAAAGACATTTTTTAAAAGAAACTATAGAGTTTTAATGTAATCATTTAGCAACCCTCAATGAATTAATGCATCTAGATATTGGACATCTACAGCAGCTAACATTACACAAAGAAAGACAATTAGGCATTATGTGTCTCCTGATGAAAAACAGCACTACCCATAGTCTTGCAAAATAAACTAACCTGAATCTGGTCAGACCTCAGGATCCACCTTTCAATCTACAGAAAGTATAGAGGTCAA